TGAAAAAATATATTGGGAGGGCTTGGCTCATCAGTGGTGAACCCTCCCAGCGGTTTCGCCAATTTAATCCAATGCTTTGTGTTGATTTATTCCTAATGTTCTTGTCTTCATAGTTTGCTGAAGAGCATTGCTCGAAGCAAATATTTGAATTTAATTCTACTGTCCTATAAGCTTATGTCCATAGTTTACTTGAAAACCATTCCTAAGATTCCATCCTTCAGTGTAGCATATAAAAGCAGAATGATCCAATACAGTATTAGAGCTCCGAGAAGCGGTCTGGTGGATTAAATTGGCGAAACCGCTGGGAGGGTTCACCACTGATGAGCCAAGCCCTCCCAATATATTTTTTCATCGCAGTAAGGACAGTAGAAGTTCGTTTTATGTATAAAAGAAACATTCGCGCTTTTAAATCCTTTTATTTTATATGTACAGATGGCGCGGTATTGCTTTGTGTTGATTTATTCCTAATGTTCTTGTCTTCATAGTTTGCTGAAGAGCATTGTTCGAAGCAAATATTTGAATTTAATTCTACTGTCCTATAAGCTTATGTCCATAGTTTACTTGAAAACCATTCCTAAGATTCCATCCTTCAGTGTAGCATATAAAAAGCAGAATGATCCAATACAGTATTAGAGCTCCGAGAAGCGGTCTGGTGGATTAAATTGGCGAAACCGCTGGGAGGGTTCACCACTGATGAGCCAAGCCCTCCCAATATATTTTTTCATCGCAGTAAGGACAGTAGAAGTTCGTTTTATGTATAAAAGAAACATTCGCGCTTTTTAAATCCTTTTATTTTATATGTACAGATGGCGCGTTATTGCTTTGTGTTGATTCAAGTTCTTAATGATTTATGAATTTAAAAAAACACTCAAAAATGGAACGTCCCGGGAGATTACGTCATACCTGTACTTACGACCTTCAAGAAGTAACTTGCTCAAACTGGTAGATTTATGCAAAGAGAGCAATATCACCAATTTCATTGTATTGTAATTCCCCCCCAGGTTTTCCCTCAGTAATCCAACCCTTGTTGTGTAAGTCTGTCCTTCATGCAGATAGCCTTAAAGATAGCCTAATCTCTTGCCTTAGTTTTTTTTTTTCTACCTTCTTTGATAGGATTGTCCTCAGGTACCTGTTTCCACACACCTACCATCCATTAATATCCATATCCACCACTGATGTGCCAAGCTATAATTATTTCATATTACTATAATGTCTATGTATCTGTTAGGAGAATTTATTTTAATATCAAAAAGTGATAGTTCAACATTAATTCCTATCACCAAAATTTATTCTGCAATTACTTTTATACAAGTGTTTCAGTAGATGATTTTATTACTTGATGATATTACTATATAAAGTTTTACAGTAAAATCTGTTGTTGTTGCTTATTCCTCAAGTCGTTTAAACGATCTCCATTATGTCCCCTTGTCTCAGATTTTCTAAAAAAAGTTTAGAGCAGAGTTCTTTCCAGCTTTCTCTTTTAGGGGATGCATATGTGGCAAAGATCTTGACTGTTTTTTTTTTATTAAAATAAGGTCTAAAGGAGGGATCACTGGATACAGTAAAACCTTTCTTATCTCCACTCAATCATATTAGGGTATCAAGCTTGTAAAGCTTGAGACTTTTGATGGTGTCTGCCAGGGAAGAGTAGATCTCATCAATGCATGAGTCAATACAGTCAATAAGTTTTGGGGTTGCAGGTTGAGAATTGCACTTAGTACATAGTGGGAAAACCTTGCAACCATTCTGGAAAGTCAGATGACCAGGCCTAAGTCTGGAAATCAAAGACTGTTGTTCTCTTGGGAGGACAGAACCAGTGCTTGTCCCTCCTGCTCTGTACTAGTCAGGTGCAGCATTAAAATTCCATTACTGCTGGCATTGGGTTTTGATGGTATGGAGGAGGTCTCTTTCGTCTAGTTGGGTGGTAGATTATCTGGCTTCAGGTAGGCCAAGAGCTCCAACCTTTGCCAGAGAGTCTGCTAGCTCATTTCCAGGAATTCCAACGTGAGCTGGAAGCCATTGCACTGTGACAGTGCTGTTGGCTGGGAGTCGGTTTATAGACTTAGCAATGCTCTTGAGAAGAGGTTCTTGACTGTAGAAGCAGCTCTGAAGGGTATAAATGGCTACTCTTGAGTAAGAGTTGATTATTATTTTGCTTGGCGAGTTGATATTGATGTCTTTTAGAGCCGTATCTATTCCAGAGAGTTCCGATTTATAAACTGAAAGGTGTCTAGGGTGGGAAAGGGAGATTTTTTCCAGGATCTTATCTTTGTAGATAGCAATTCCACTGCCAGACAGTCCAGTTTCAAGTTGGCTACTGTCGGTGTAAATTGTGATGTCAAAGAGGGAGCTATTTTCCTCAATGATTTAGAGGCCAAGAACTTTAAGTAATTCTGGCTGAGTTTCATGTTTTTGGGGATTGGCTGGTAGATGAGGTTAACAGGTAAGTTTGTTGCGAGTTCTGTGTGGGGGATATGAAGTTCTGTGTTTGAGATTAATTGGGATGTCTAAAAGATTAGAGTTGTGAGCCAAGTTGAGAGGAGTGGGGCGTTTTAGTCTTTGATTTGGGACCCAATTTCTAATAAATTTTCCTGCAAAATTTTCTTTTGGAGAGTTAATGCAAATTAAAGCAGATTTTTCTCCTTAGGTGCAGGGGAAGAAGGTTGGATTCGAGTTCATTAACGCGATTTGGGCAGGATCCTCAAAGCCCGCTGATGATTTTAGCTGCCCTTGCTTGGATTCTGTCTATTCTGGATAGATTGGTTTTACTTGCATTGATCCAGGCTTGGGTAGCATATTCCAAAATAGGTCTTACGAGTGCAAGGTACATTGTGCGTAAGATATTGGCACTCGCACCCCAGTTTAAGCCTGGTATTTTTTTCAGGATTCTGAGTCTATTTTTGGCTTTGTTTATCATGGTTTCAATATGTTTTTTAAAAGTGAGAGCAGGATAAAGTGTGACACCAGGATATCTTGGTGAATCTGAATATTGGATTATTGAGTTGTTCAAAGAAATATTTGGGGTCCAGTGGCAAAGGTGGTTGTTGATAGTGAAGAGGCCAATTTCAGATTTGCTGATGTTAATAGATAATATCAGTTTTCTGGGTTACCTTTTGCAGATTTTTCATGGCTTTATTCATAAAGTGTTCTGCCTCAGAGAGGTTGTTTTTGGAGACCCAGATGTTTATATCATCTGCGTAAAGGGCAATTTTAGCTGGTGGTTTGATGAAAGTGTGTACATCATTTAGGTAAATGTTGAAGAGAATAGGGCTTAGGATTGACCCTTGGGGTAGACCCTGGTAAATACGAGTAGTTTTTTATTTGTTGTTGTTGAAATTAACCTGTATGGTGCATTTGGATAGAAAGTTGCTGATCCAACTCAGCATACTTCCCTCTATTCCAAGTTTATCGAGTTTGAGAATTAGTTTTCCTTCCAGACTCTGTCAAAGGCTTGGGAAAGGTCGATGAAGGCTGCTATAGTGGATTTTGTAGGTTTATGATGAAAGCTGTCCTGGATTTGTTGAACAAAGTAAAAAATTGAATCATCTGTGCTTTGATATTTTTTAAAAGCTCTTTGATGAGGGTCTAGTAGGTTGTTGAGGTTAAGATAAAAAGTTAGCTAATTGAGAATCATGTGTTCCATGATTTTGTAGTTGGTCTGTAGTTGGTTGGGTGGTTCTCAGGCTTGCCTGGTTCGTGAATGGGGATGATTGTGGCATGTTTCCACTCTTTAGGGAGGGTAGATGAGCTCCAACTGTAATTGAAAATGCTTAAGAGTTCTAGTTTGACATGGGAGCTGAGATTTTTCAACATGGGTCCAGTGATGTTGTCTGGACCAGGAGCTTTTGTACGGTCAAGATGACTTAAAGCTTCGTCAAGTTCATGCTCTTGAAAAGGTTTACTGAATATGTTGTGGCTGGGTTTGGATTTTTCAAGGTTTCTGGTGAGCCTAGATTTTTTACCTATTATTTTATCCTGTAAATCAAAATTAAGTTTTGCAGTGGAGCTGTAATGGTGGGCAAAATGATTTGCTCTGCTATATTTATATGTGAGGGGATTTCCAGAATTATCCTTGAAAGTATTTGAGCTGCTGGGAGATGGAATGTCCTGATTGAGGGCATGTAGCAGTCTCCATAGTTTTGTTTCACTGGTTTTTGGGTCAATTGAAGAGCAGAGTTCAATCCACTTATTCTGTTTGATTTTGTCGGCCTTAAGCATAATTTTTGCAGCAAGGTGATTTTAATCTCTGATGAGGAGGGTGTTGTTCTCAATAAGGTCTAGGTAAGCTTGGTTCCTATCTTCTATTTCATCTTTCAGCTTAGTGGGAACAGTTTGTTTTCCATTAATTTATTTTTCAATGGCATCTGACCCTGTATGCAATCTAATTTTTCTCTAAGCCCCTAAAGGCTAAATGTGTTGAATATCCTATATTAAGAGCATCATTAAATTTACTTAAGAATGAATAGTTTTAGGTTTATCATCATCAATTTTATTCACATGTTCTTGAGAGTCACCCTAACCTTCCTTGTAAGTTCATTTTTGCTTAGAGCCAAATGGAAACTCTCAAGAATGTATGTAAAGTATAAAGTAACAACCATTATTTACATAATAGGCAGCGCAAGTATCCATTGTTGTAGTTTAGAAGCCCCTCATAGCTCTGGTGTGAAGTGTGAGGGGAATGTGCAGGGCAAGATAGCCTGCGCCAATGTGCTGAGCGACCTGTATGCCATGGGGGTGACTGAGTGCGACAACATCCTGATGATCCTGGGAGTGAGCAACAAGATGAAGCCGGAGGAACGAGACGTTGTCATCCCCCTCATGATGAAAGGCTTCCAGGTGCCTGGCTACTTCTATGTGGTTTATGAACCCTGTTTGTGATTGCATCAGTATATTACCTTGGCTTTTCTTAGACCACATTTTTGCATAAGTTTTCTTTGATGTTTGTGTACGTTGTGTGTGCTCCAATGTGAAATATGCACATATATTTATAATACAATATAATCCGGCTTATTATAACGGATGGGAATCGAACCCACAATATTCCGCTTACCGGGCATATGCCATGTCCACTAGGCTACCCTGGACATATTTTTCCGTTAGTAAATATTATATAAAGTAATTTACAATACAATATAATGTGGCTTATTATTGTAGAACGACATTTGAAAATTATCTCGCATGTGTTTCTTTTAAAGGAAAAATTAGATATTTATTTTAAGGAGAAATAACAATTATTTCTAACCTTAGGGATGAAGTATGAAAGGATGAATTGTGATGAGTAATCATAAACAGGAAAAATAATTTTTTTTTATAATTTATTTTCCATTTATCATTGCTCTTCACAATTCATCCTTTCATACTTCATCCCTAAGGTTTGAAATAATCGTTATTTCTCCTTAAAATAAATTTTGAATTTTTCCTTTAAAAGAAACACATGCAAGATAATTTTCAAATGTCGTCCTACATATATTTTATTCTTTGGCATATTCATGGTTTTCCTAAGTGAGGTGCACATGATGTTATGCCCATTATTATTATTATTTTTTAATTTAGTGTGTGCATCATGTATGTCTTAATGTGAAGTTGTACACAATGATTAGTCTAACTTTAATTCAGCACCACAGGGCATCAGCATTTTCGGTAGAATTAATGTTGGTGATGGATCTCAATAGGTTGATGGTAAGTGAAAAATTGAATGAGTAAGTGCTGAAAATATGAGGTTTTACTGTATATGGTGTGGGATTGCAGGTACAGGGATGTTTTATGTTTGTGAACTTTGCTGTGTAGCTAGCATTCCTTAACATGCCCATTTTACATAATAGTGTAGCTCTATGTAACCCTGCTATCACTTTTATAATCTTTTAGAATTTCAGTTTTTATTTATTTATTTTTTACTTATCCTTTGTACACGTGGTACAGGCCATGATAATCATGGTGGGTAGAAGTTGGCGACTGCTTTTAATGTAATACATGTAATACACATATGAAAAGTAGTTCGACTTTGCACTTACTTTTTATAATTCTTTATATTACTCTCTGGTCTGGATATTTCATTGCCAAAATGGCCATTAAGCAAAATGACTATTAGCTGTCCTTCAATAAAAGGACATCTTTCTTTAGCTCTGCAACTAGGTTACAGAGAGAGTTTCTACTATATATAGAATAAAAGTACCTTTTTCAATTGGATATTAGAAAACATTCCCAAGGTAGCAATACCCAAGTTCCAATTATTAAGTCTGTTATACCATGATGTCACATATAGGCTACTTAGCTACTTATTTAGTTTTGTTACCTTGTGAATCTTCAAATCTTTTTGAGATATGTTATAATTCTGAAAATAGAAGACCTTAAAAGTAAAAAAAAAAAAATCTATAGAGAGGTAAAACTAAGAGCTGACCTCCTGTGCAGGACTTTGCGCACCAGGCTGGCACCAATGTCACGGGAGGCCAGACTGTGCTGAACCCCTGGGTGATGATTGGAGGGGTGGCCACCAGCATCTGCTCTCCTGACGAGATAATCATGTGAGTGCCGACTTGTTTGTATCTTGGTGGCAGAGCTGCTAGACTGGTGGGGTAGAAACTGCTGTTTCACCACAACCATCACGATTCTGAAGCAGTTAAGATTTTTTTCTAGAAAAAAAGTAAGTCATTTTTCATGTGATCACTTATGGATGTGAGAGTCAGACTCTCAGAAAAGAAGAAAGAAAAAAAATTAAAGCTTTTGAAATGTGAATATGGAGAAAGCTACTCAGTGCCATGGACAGATAAAATGACAAATGTTTCAATCTTAAACAAAATTAGTAGAATAATAAATAAAATAGCTTCGTGGGATGAGCAAGATACTCATATTTGGAAGCCGTTCCATTTATTATTCTATATATTGCAGAATATGTTCCTTTTCCAAATTGAGATTAGTGCTGGTAGATCCCTAGAATCCCAAATATGTAAACAAGGAGTGGCTTACTTCAGACCCATTATGAGAGCAAATGGATTATAAAATATGTTGATATTGGGCAATGAGCTGGCTGAAAGGGTCAAGAAAGCTACCAGAAGGTCACTAGATGAGCTACAAGTGGTCAACAACAGATAAAATTGGAAAATATTCGTCCATATAGTCACCAAAAGTCAAACTGAACTTTGATGGACACTAACAGCAACAAGGTTTCAATTGTGGTTGTAGAGATCCTTTACTTTTCTTGCTCATCCCTCTGATTACCAGACAGGCTGTGTGTGATGATAAGGTGTACAAGTAATTTCTATGTGGACTGTTACAGAAATGTGAATTTAATAAAATCAATAAAGCATCCTTTCAACTGGAGCAACTAGGAGTATGTGAATCTTGCCTAGCTGGCTTGTTACCTACCTCTGTGTGGTTGATGATGGGGAAGTAGCCACTCTCTTTGTTGGTGTATTTTGAAAGGGAAGGTATTTTTCCTTGGTGGAAAAACAAAATAATTTTAATTTCCTTCTCTCTCTCTTAATGTGATGTTTTTAATATTTCCATTCTTCAAACTAGAAGGGCTTTAAAAACTCTGTTTCAAATGTTTATATATAGAGTGAACCTAGAGGAAACACTTTTGGAAGAGTTAATTCAACTTTCAGACTTCCATGAAATTATTAAAGTGGCTTATTGCGGATAACATGCTTAATTCTTTTTATAGTATTCCTGCAATTTCCTACATGATGGAATCAGGTTGTGTTGTTATATTTAGTTTCTGAGTTGTTCAATAAACTATTTATAGCCTGTGTACATTTCTTTTTACTTATCCTAATTACCCAGGGTACAAGATCATGATACTCAGTAGTTATTCTGTGACTGCTTTTCCTGTCTATACATGTAAAAAGTACTTTTTACACTTACAAATATGCCAGAGCACCATTTGGTTACTCACTCACTTGTGGGTTTGGTCTTTTGAAATAATTGAAGGCCATTGAAACAATTTCATTCAGAAAAAAGTCCCAGTACAGGATTCAATCCTGAGTTGTGGCTGTCGACAGTTTACACCACACCTCCACACACTTTCATTTCTTTTCAAATTCATACTGCCCTTACTGCAATGATAAAAATATGCTGCAATAATAAAAATATACAAAGCTCAAAGCATGTGTGCATATAATATTATATGTGAAAAAATAATTAAAAAATTAAAAAATAAAAAAGGCCAGGTGTTGATGTTAAAAAGAAAATAGACATATCCTGACCTAGCTCACATGAGCTTTCTATATGGCAGAATATCAAGGAACAGGTTAAATCAACGTTTAGTTTTTTTATGTTCTACTAGATGCTGCTCTGCCATCTAAAAAGCTTGTGTGAGTGTGGTCAGGTTATGCCTATTTTTTTTATAATATTAATATTTCTACTGTCCCCTCAAAGCTTTAGTTTTTTTTAATTACCTTTGCCAGTCTTTCTCTCCCCTACTGGATGTATAATATTAGAGGGAATCATATAAACCCCTGGTAGGGTTCATCACCAGGCCCTTCTAATATCAAAGTAAGGGCATTAGTGTCTTATTTAACAATAACAGTATGCTAAAAAAGGATTAATTTTATATAAAACTCTTTTCAGGACAATACTAACCTACAGATCTGAAATATGGTATAAATTTATTAATAAAAGAAGTAAGTAAATATTAAACTCTCAGCAATATCAGATTCTTCTTTGGGTAGTGAGAGCTTATAAAACGACCTCATCAAATTGCATAAATAGTTTGGCAAAAATACCTATTCTCACAGATCACATAGAATCGTTGATAATAAAATACGAATTGGCCAATTTATCAAAAGAAGAAATTAATTTATTTAGACCGCAAGCCTCAACTATAATTCAAAACTTCATAGAATCAAGAATGGCTGAAACTATAGCGAACACTAATGAAACATTCCGAAAATTTTTCCCATTTGGAGTTCCTTTTTATTTTCATCCAAATTTTTATAACTCACAATTCATCACAAATCATAGTAATTTTGGAGAATTTCTGTCTAAAATCGGGGCAACGGATGATCCTAGGTGCTTCTGTGGAAAAGAAAGCCAAAACTCAATACATTTATTGATAGAATGTCCGATCTCTTTCACAGCTACAGAAGTAATCATTTTTATCCCATCGAAGAAATGTGCGGATTTGTATATAACAAAGACACTTATGTGAAATTCAATAATTTTTGTAAATTCATTTTAGATTTTCTTTTCTGTTGAGAAAATCAACGTTTCAGTTTTAATTTTGTTTTTAGTCCGGTTATTGAATTGTATATTGTGGTGGTTCGTCTGGTTTTGAAGAAATGATTCAATTATTCATTCCAAGGTATTTTAATTTATTACAGATAAAATATAAAAATAAATAAATTGTTACAAATTAAAATCTAGTAAAGAAGAGTTGAAAAAGGTTTGATGAAAATGGATGGATGAGAATGGACGTTGGCTCGTGGTGGCCGTCAATAACAATGGTATCCTCCCACGTGTTTCACACGTCACCGCCGCCGCGCATGCGCCGACTTGGCGCCACCACCGGCAGAGGTGGTGGCGGTTGAAAGGGCTGTTCAAAATTGGCGGCGGGTCAAAACACCGTCACACCCCCCGGCTCCCAAGGACTCCCTGTCCTTGAAAGATCGAAGTTGAGAAGCATGAGCCCGGTACACTCGTCCTTCGGTGTCTTGGATGTCATAGACTAGACTACTGATCTTCTTCTTAACGAAGAAAGGGCCTTGTTGTCTTGGGCTGAGTTTAGACATGTATGGATGGTGCTTTGTAACAGTCCTCAAAGCTTGATCTCCCTCAGAGAATTCCGCATCTGGATGTTTATCATCATGATGATTCTTCCTCTTTATTTGAGCTTTTCTGGTATTCTCCCGAGCCAGACCCTCTTGCTTCTTCTAAAGTGATGGGATGGTCAGCAAAAGATGGTGATTCATCAATCCCATACAGAAGAAACTTTGGGCTGAATTTGGTTACTTCATGTGGGGTCTGGTTGTATGTCTTGACAATAAATGGTACAAGTGTCGACCATTTTTGTTTTGGTTTCTCCAAAATTGCAGCTCTCAATCTTGTGAGAAGGGTATGGTTAGCCTTTTCTACCATTCCACATGTCTGA